CATCAGAAGCAGGGTGGGCGGAGTTAATGCACACGCACGGTGATAATGGATACCTTCATGAGTGATGTGAGTTATTATTGATTATTTTTTTAATAATATTATGAATGAACCGTCTTGTTGTTATATCTAAAATTTTTGCTCAGACTAATAAAGCTAACGTCAGCAGCCACTGGACGAGCAATCGTTATTATAATCCAAATGGGCAAACAGTCTAAATTATTATGCAAGTTGACTAGATACAAAAAGTCGCATTTGTCATCCGTCACCGTGACAGCGGAGAACACCCGGCCGTTATCAGAGTCAGTCAGTGCTGTGCGTGTGTTGTTTTGTAACTTTCAACTTGTAAAATTAGGATGAGAAAAGTGTGAGTCGGTAATTTGAAATAAGGTGGGAAAAAAAACACGAGCGACGTCATCAGAAGCAGGGTGGGCGCAGTTAATGCACAAGCACGGTGATAATGGATACCTTCATGAGTGATATGAGTTATTATTGATTATTTTTTTAATAATATTATGAATGAACCGTCTTGTTGTTATATCTAAAATTTATGCTCAGACTAATAAAGCTAACGTCAGCAGCCACTGGACGAGCAATCGTTATTATAATCCAAATGGGCAAACAGTCTAAATTATTATGCAAGTTGACTCGAGATACAAAAAATGCAAAACTGCAAAGTCGCATTTGTCATCCGTCACCGTGACAGCAAGTGGACTTTTGAAACTGGAATAATGAGTGGATTACGCATTTCAATTGGCAAGAGAGGAATAACACGGATGGAACTTCCTTGGCAAGGAGGATTGTGTGCGTCACAGTCAGGTACAAGGGAGAAGGCTTCTTATATTAGGTAAGACAAAAAGTTTAATTTTCGCAACTTGTTTATCGACTTGTTAATAGCAATTTGCTGTGGAATATGATCGGGTCCAGCCGGGTCTGTGTCTTCCCGGCCGGGCTCGGGTCCATCTTTCAAATAATTGACGGTCCACGTCGGTTCCGGGTAGTACATTTTTGACATTTCTCGGTTCTGCACGGGCCCGGGTCCAACTTTCAAAATAATAGACGGGTCCGGGTCGGTTCAGTGTAGCACATTTACGGGTCTCTTCGGGTTCGGGTACGAATTTTTGGACCCGTGTAGACCTCTACTTTCTATCTCACAATTCAGACTTTTTCAGAATTTTTCTCAGAATTGTGACATTTCACTTATGAACTCATTTATGAACTGTTCACCAGATGTAACTTGGCCCCGTGTTTTTTTTTTTTTTTTTTTAAAGGTTATTGGTTCAGCACACCTTTATAGCTTAACTGACTGATAAAGGTTAGTAGACAACAGACCAATTAGGACATAGTTTAGAGTTGTTTTAGTCTATAAATAAATAATATTTTGTATTCTGTGTTCTGAATTCACTTGTTTTGTTTATTTACTTTTGGTGGTCACCTTAAATTTGACCATCATTTATGATGTGCTTACATTGATTCATGGCTTAAGTAGAATTTAAGCAGACAGTCTTGTACCGTTTTTGATTTTCAAATGCTTTTTTGCTTTGAATCAAAGGAAATGTGATTAATCTTGGAGCTTGTTGATTTGACTCAAGGCTTAAAACTCTAGAGTCTTTAAAAAATAATGCCTGTAGAAAATACCAGTCATTTAATCTAGTTAAATGAATGGTTAAATACCAGGGTTGTTGAAAAAGTGTGCAACCACTGTTGGACTATATTGACTTATGTATAGGAATTTTCAAGTATACACTTTTCTAGCTTTACTGATCACAGCTAAACTTGATTAGTGATTTCATTAGGAATAGATAAAACATCCAGCTTCATTGCAGGTTATTAAAGGGATAGATCACCCAAAAATTATAATTACCCCATGATTTCCTCACCCTCAAGCCATCCTAAGTGTATATGACTGACTTCTTGCAGACGAATACATTTCAGACGAATCCTTTCTTACACAAATGCATCGCTTTACTTTAGAAGTCATTTATTAACCCCATTAATAAAATGCCTCCTAAAATAGTTAAACGAGCCGTGTGGAGTACTTTTATGATAGATGGATGCACTTTTTGGGCTTCAAAGTCTCGACCACCATTCACTGCCATTATTAAGCTTGGAAGAGCCAGGACATTTTTTAATGGTGACACTGCAGGCTATAAAACCCATAATATTGAATAACACCAGCAATAACTGTGCCTGCTGGTGAGATTTGTACTTATCCAATGTATAAATAATTTCCAATTTACTTGATTGTATTTTCTGCATCCAGTGTGTTTTGATATGTTCATTAGATTTAATAGTCTGTGTATATTGTTTGGGGTATTTGATAAAATCTAGTTTTGTTGTAAGTAATTAATGAGCGTAACTGATTGAATTTTTGTAGCTAATGCATCATACATCTGTGCTGATTGTTGATAAGATACAGTACTGGAAGGAAGGAAGGGTTGGCTTATAGATATGTTCTCTAATTTGGGATTTGTTCTTTTTCCATTCTTATGTGCAGTGCAGCTGAACGGAGGTGTCTACATGAAGAGCTTTGATCTCACTGATATTTGGTCACTGGAAAAAAAACAATATTCATGCTTTTCACCCCTTCATAAATCTATTTTGACTTCAGTTCCATGATCTTAAGTTTAGTTTGTGATGCTTTAAGCTCTAAGTTGTCACTGACAATCTTTTGATGGTGAATGTGACTGCATTTCTTCTATAGACCTGAAGCAGAGCAGCTGAAGACAGGACTTATGTTCATTGGGATAATGATGAAAACAAACATTACTGCGCTGTCTTTCTCACACGTACACGCATACACACACTGACATAAGCAATCAGGAACAGCAAACATTTAATAAGTTCCTGAGGGATTCAGTAGCTTAGAGATTCCACACAAAATAAGACTAGTTTGGTGTACTGAAATCTCTTTGCTGCTCTCGTTGCAGATGAAAACATGCCAAGTACTCACCCTAGGGTACACATCCCTTCCCACAGCTACAGAGATGAAAGATTGGTTTCAGATACAGAGTAATTTGTTGGTTCATTAAGTAATGACATGAGATACTCATCATTACCATGTAAAAACACTGTTATTCCTAATAGCACTAATAGAATACTACAACAATATATGAACTGTATATTGTGTGCAGTATAAAGTGGCATAAAGTGTAAAATGTAACAGTGACACAACTGTCCTAATATAATAATGAAGAAACTTTATATATATATATTAGGGGTTGAACGACTTCTGATTTTTTAAAGTCGACTTTTATGTGATGAAAGTCGAGTCGAAGTCGACTAGTCACTGATGACGTCATTAATGAACATAAGCCTGGAGCTGTAAAAAACACCTTGTGCACAGCTATGGCATATGACACAGCGCTGCCCACATGGCTATTGCTCTTGGCTATAACAGCTCATTTTTATCAGTTCTTTTGTCTTTGGGTCGTTATATTTCTCACAGATTTCTGCTCGATTTAAATCAGATAACGTTACAGATAAAGTAGCACAGTAAAGATTACATTCATATGAACGCATTAGTGAGAGCGATTGTGTGTGTGAATCACGGGCTGAGTGACCGTGTATACACACACACACACACACGTATAGTAGGCCTCTGCATGAAAATGCAGCTTATAGATTTAATATGGGCTGCTTTTGGTGCTTGGCACCTTTTTATTGATCATTTTGTGTTTCAAGAAAAAGGTCCAAGGTTAAGAATTATGCTATTAGTTACTTAAATATAAAATGTTTTTCTCTATTTAACAACATTACAATAGTAAAAGACGACCTCCCTTACTGATCACGTCTCTTGCGAGTCACGTACGGGACAAATCAATTAGGCCCAAAATATGGGACGTCCTGGCTAATACGGGACGGTTGGCAACCCTACTTGTGGAGCGCTTTCGGAGTATGTATTTATTTGTCATTTTAACTGGTTGGAAACGGAGCGTAAATGTGGAAGTCCTTCAAAGATTTCTTATCCTGTTGCGCCCTCTATAGGACCAGCGACTAGTCGACGTCAAGCTTAAAGCGTCATGGCAGAGCATTGAAGTCGACTAGCCAACTAATCGATTAGCAGGTGCAACCCCTAATATATATATATATATATATATATATATATAAAATTGTGAAATATTATTATAGTTTACAATTATTTATTTCTATTTTAATATATTATTGCAATTTATTCCTGTGATCAAAGCTGAATTTTCAGCATCATTACGCCAGTCTTCAGTGTCACATGATCCTTCAGAAATCATTCTAATATGCTGATTTGCTGCACAAGAAACATTTCTCATTATTATCAATGTTGAAAACAGTTGCTGCTTCATATTTTGTGTGAACTGACATAGTTTTTCAGGTTTCTTTAATGAATAGAAAATTAAAAAGAACAGGATTTATGTAAAATAAAAATCGTTTAGAACATTATAAATGCATTTTCTGTCACTTTTGATAAATGTAATGCATCTTACTGGCCCCAAAGCGGTAGTGTATATTTTAGGATGTCAAAAAAATATGGAAGATGGGGGAAAAAAAGAGATAGAAAAAAGATGTGAAAAAATTTTAATTGCTTTTTACTTGATGGTTACATCACATTTTTAGAGTCATTAAATTAAAAATGTTCTTAAAAATGCCATAAATGTTTTTCAAAACCATATCAAGTACATTTCTAAGAACTTATGTGTGTTAAACTAGAATTTTAAAACATTTTAATTTTCGTTATTGTGGACACTCCTATTTGTCACTGACCCATATCATATCCATAATGCATATTAAATGAACAGTGTATACTGTAACAAGACAGTGTTTGTGTGTCCTTATGGGTCTAACAGAAATGAACTGCATTAATAAAGTGTGTGTACCTCTCTTCTCTGCTGGATTTCCTGAAGGGCAGGGACACTGTCCTGGACACTTGACAGAAATCTGCTTCCCAGAGATGCAAGCTTGATATTCTACTTTACACTACAAAACACACACACACACATAAAACTGAGATTAGATAAGTACATTGTCGATCTGGGATTAATCTCTTGGTTGAATACATCTGTGACACAGCATTATGAAAAGCAATTCAAACCTTATACACATACTGTATAGAAACACACACACACACACACACACACACACAGTGGCAATTCTCACAAACAGGCAGTGTGTGTGTTACCTTGGTGGAGTAAGTGTGTCCATCTGTTCCACAAACAGGTGAAGGGTGCACAACTGGACATCTTTTGCATTTCAGCAGTGGTGAGTTCAAATTCATGTCTTTAAAACTGCAAAAGAGAAATGAATCTTTTAGCACTAACAATGAAGAAGCCAAACAATACTGATCTGCAGAAATGCAGCCTGTTTCTATCTGTCCTCTTCTTACTATCATCTGCTGCACTGGTTCTGCGCTGGTTTTACTTCAATAGCCAAATTGAAAATCCAATGGCAAACAAATACAGTACAATAAAGAATTATTTCCCTAGAATCAATTGATATCTATTTTATTTTGAACCAACAATATGCAATATTATTAGCATGGCAGGCTAAATAGGAAAACTGTCGATTTAGATTTATAAGATGGTTTCACGTAATCATATTTATTCTCACTTTAAGTAAGAAGTTAATCTTCATATTTTAGTTTCCCTTGTAAAGTTTCGTTCATTGTTTTTGAGGATGAGGTGATGTTAGGAACCCGTACATGAATCTGCCTAATTTGTAGGAGTATGAATCTTTGGGTTGATAGCAAATCAATTTCATTTACAATTCACTTGTTTTCTGTTAGATTCCAAAGCGATATTTGCCAATCCTGAATTATTCAATTTGATTCATTACACAATTTGATTTAACAACTATTTATTCAGTACTTCATTAAAATGCTTTTATAAGATACTTTAATTTGTCTAAATTCTACCAAGTGATAAATGAACTTGCATGAAATAGTTTCACTGGTCACTGATTCAGTGGTTCTCAACCAGGTGGCCGGCGCCCACTAGAGCACCTTAGGTGGACCTAAAATTATTTAAATTTAAATTTTGATAATAAATAATTTTGAAAGTGTAATTTCTAGATCTGTGCTTTGAATATTGTTGTGGACCATGGAGCGCGAAAAAGTTGAAAGACATTGCTTCAACATCTCTTCTGACAAATTATATGCATCTTTTTTTTCTCCCTTTAAAAGGCTGATAAGCATTTTTTAAAATTGTTTTAAAGGGGTCCTATTATGCTTTTTCACTTTTTCAACTTTAGTTAGTCTGTAATGTTGCTGTTTGAGCATAAAAAAGACTAGTATGAGAGCATGTTCTAGTACACCCCCAAAACAAAATCAAAACTTTGTAAAAGAGCATAATAGGACCCCTTTAAAGGTGCACTAAGCAATTTTTGCCAAACGATGTTGATATCTGAAAGCACTAGGGTTGTGACGGTGAGGAAATTTTCCCACCGGTTAATCGACGTGTGACAACACCAATAATACCGGTATCACCGTGGGGGCAGGCGCGTTTCCTCTTTTCCTCGCTTTCCTTCGCATTTTAAATAGCCTTAGATAAATGGCAAAAGTCAACAGGCTTTTAAAAATCCAAAATACTGCCAAACAGGCGCTTTTGTATTTCGTTTCGAAACTAAATCATCCGCGATCGTCTTGTCTGTCTCACCTCACTCTTCTTGTCAGTCAGCTCGACTCACTCTCCTCACTGGATAAATTAAATCTGATCTATGCGACTGTCGTTCGGCACGCTGCATTGAGCAGCCGCGTTCAGTTTTTAATTGTAGTGTCTGTTCTTTTACTGAACTAAATGATTTTTATTACTATAAAAATCAAAACGACGGTGGGGGTCGGTGCCGCGGTGGGCAAGTGACGTAACCGGTGTTGCGGCTTAACAGCAGTATCACCGTCAGCACCGTCTCTATCGCGGCAAGCCTAGAAAGCACCAAAACAAACACGCCCATACCCCAACAGGACCTCGCCCCTATTTTAATAACTCCGCCCCACATGTACATACACAACCCTGGCAGCGACGATGGCGGAATCTGCTATGCCTGCCAGCCGTAGCATATTCAAGCAAAACCCAACACAGAAAAATTGTGAAAAAACAAAATCAACATAACTCACCTATCAAGAAGAAACAAAGCAACCTCTGCGTCCAATTCCAGGCCTTCCCGCTCCTTGAGTTCTCTCCACCGCTGGAAAGCTGCTCCGATATTTACGCAGTACTACCTCTTGCCTGATCGTAACCCTTCTTTTTAATGTTTTGTTCCTCCGAAATTTTCCTTATTTTTTAAATTTTTTATTATCTGCCATCGCTATCTAAAGTCGATCTGCTAATATCCGTCCTGTGCACTCACCGAGCGCTCTCTTCTCCCTATCATCACTAGATGATACTTACTGCTGATTGGCAGAGAGTTTGTTTTGGGACTCGGTCCGACACTGTGCTTGCTTAGTGCACCTTTAATATTTAATATTTGCAATTTGTTTTTTCCCTCATGTCCACAACTCTACATAACAGACGTTATGTGACCACTTTTTGCATTGCACCCACCAGTTGAGAATTTTTCCATACTTCTGTTATTTATGCTTCTCTATTTCTATACTTCTCTCTCTATGTTGATTTCTGTGATACTTCTCTTCAATATCCCTCTTTGTCTGTTTCTTTGGGCCATTAAAAAAAACAAAAAAACATTTGTATTATGCTATCACCCCAAATTCATTAACTGGTTAGTTTCATAACTACAATCACTGTTGACAACTGTAGCTTACAAAATCCAGGTCAGTCTGTGCCTTATTTTCACCTCGGTCACACACACACACACACACACACACACACATACTCTCTCTCTCAGAAGAACTAATTCCCAAACTTTGGCAGGCAAGTTTGCCCAGTTAGTTCCAGTATAGGTTGACTGGGTAAGAACATAGAACAGCCCTTGTTTAATCTCAAAAACTTTTTGGCCATACTTAACATCAAACATGTGCAGGAAAATGTACCATGTAAAATCAATATTAAAAAAATATGGAAAAATGCTACAGCAAGTCCATAACTGGTGAAAATGTTAACTGGAGTAAATACTCCTTAACAAAATCAATGACCTAAAATATTACCATATTTCTTCTGGAAAGCATCTAAAAAAAACATCTTTTGTTACCCACATATGTGTTTGCTTAGTTTGTAGTGGACTTGGCTTGGAACAAAATATGGAATTATTACAAGCTAAAAGCTGGACCAGCTGTTATTAACACCACAGATTTAATATTTTGGTAGCACAGCCATTGGACAGTTCTGATAACATTCAATGTTTTTGTTAACAGTTTACTAAAACAGTTTTTTTCCCTCAGATTTCTCCAGTGGTATTCTCTCTGCTTTTCACTCAGTGTTTTGTTTTCAACCATCCCTGGGTGTTTTGTGAAGTGTTCTAGATCACTGACCCATGATGTCTGACCGATTCATAGCTGTCTCCAAAATGTTTGTAATTCAAGAGGTCATGCACAAATTCAAGGCAGCAAGTGTGCCAATCTTTTAAGCCACACGGTTTTACTACTGTTTCAGTAATGAGCAGTAACTGTGAGTCAGATAGATCGGAGGAAGTTTACCTCATTCTGCGTTGACTAACACAGGTGGGTGTTTGGTAATCTTCAGCCACACACACTTTATGGCGGCCACATTTTATCTTGAGGCATGGATCTTTGGCAGGGTCCAGAGCTGAAACACATACAAAAACAGACGTGTATGAATACAAACAATGAAACAGATAAACATAGCAAATACTGAATACATGAATACTGTTAAATTCAACTTGCATGGTATTTACTTAATAAGAATGAATTGTGAACACAGATAGTGTTGTTTAGTAGCACACTGTCTGCATTGTTTTAGCACCACTTTTACTGTAAAGTAATTGTGTTTTGTGAATAAGAAAAAAAAAATCTATACGAAGCCAGATCTACATACAAAGAATAACACAGATTGTGCAAAAAACAAAATGTTGTCATCAGTTACTTACCCTCTTGTTATTCCAAACCCATAAGACTTTTGTTTGCCTTTGAAACACAAATTAAGATGTTTTTAACGAAATCTGAGATTTTATTTTGGGTGCAACAGATCACAAAACTCAAGGTTCGGATCGTTACGGAGTCACAGATCGGATCATTTTTCAGATCAGCAAAAAAAGAAAAAAAAAAAAAATGAGACAAATGTAAAGAACACTAAATACTTATTTGATACCATAGCAAAACCTAATAGACTTAACTAATAAAGTTCAAACAGACAACAGCCATTAATAAAATAAGAAATAATATACAAATTAGAAGCATGGATAAATACAACAGAACAAAGTTACAAATAAAACGGTCTATCAGTAGTATTCAGGTACAGAAAAGTAATAATTAAATGTAAAATAACATTGCATAGCGTTCACTGAATAAATTAAATATAGATTAATCTGTTAAAGCTGTGCTTTGCTGTTTGAGATAAATGACACAGACAGCAGCAGGTATTTATAGGCTGCTGTCTCTTTAAGACCTAATGCATGGATCCACTATAATGATACACAAAATATTTTTTTCTTTTTACGTCATTTTAAGACATAACCGACTGTGTTTATGAGAATACTTGCCGCGATGGGTATTTTGAGATCATTTTGTCTGTGTGTTCGTTCAAGCGCAAGGAGATGCAAAAGAGAACTCAATTCTGTGTTTGCATTGTGTGCGCACAGAAAACAGTGCGCCAGTACCAAATTGAGAGCCCTTTTGCCTCTTTTTGTGCTTGAATGGTTTAAAATTGCTTGAATGTAAACTGGCAAAACTTAGAAACATGTCAGTCTGTTCTGGTTAAACTTTGCAACTAATCCGCAAATCACATGCGTGTCGAACCGTGGAGCCTGGTCCGTACAGATCACGGATCAACTATGATCTATTACACCCCTAGTCTTTATGGACTTTTTGAAGCATTAAAGTTTTGGTTGCATGGACGTTCAATGGCAGGGCAGAAGTCTCTCTGGTTTCATTAAAAATATCTTCATTTGTGTTTTGAAGATTAACAAATGTCTTATGGGTTTGGGTAATTAATGACAGAATTTTCATTTTTGTTTGAACTAGCCCTTTAAATTATATTTTAGCACATTTAGTACATGGTTAAACTAGATTGTGGGTGGTAATAATGTGCAGGTTTTTGCATTAAAAAACTGTTTAGTAAACTCACCCAATGAATAGCAAAGGTAAACTCCTTTACTACGAAACCACTTAACTCCAAAAATAATGTATCTCATGTGCAGGGTTCAACAAAAATACATGAAAGCCACATATACAGCTGCAGACAAACATACGCTAAGTATGATCTGTCTGATTTGTGTACGCGTAAATAAGAATTCTATTTCTGCTATAGCCTGAAATGGGGCAGTAGCTAATGCTCTGTGACGAAAAGTAAGCGAGAAGGAAGAATAGAGGAGAGAGAGACAGAAAGAATAACAGTCCTAATGCCATTAAGTACTTTTAAAAAAGAGGCTCACGCACATGCACATGCACAGAGGAAGAAAGACAATATCTCACAAACATACTCATCCTTTACCTTCCCCTTGTCGAAGTACAAACACAGCCACACTTCGAACGCTCTCTGACCTCAGATGGTAAGAGCCTTAGTCAAATCCTGCACAGGCTTTAGGGCTTATCCAATCCCAATCTCTTCAGCACCCTCTGAGTCCATTGTCCGTGTGTGTGTGTGTGTGTGTGTGCGTGTATGACAAAATTTGTGATTGATTTGTGCATCATCATGTTGAGTGTGATCAGAATCTGTTTTAAACTGCTCTACTTGCTCTTTTTGACTACTCAATGCTCTATCAATAGTGATTTGCATGAATATCAAACTCGTGATGAATATTCAACAGGGTTCTAATGACTTTCGAATATGCATAATCTCGTAAGATTTACTGCACACTGAGAGTTTGATGTGATAGAGAGTCTTAAAAAGCAGTTTTCTCATTTTCTCAGACGGATGTAGCGTGATGATACGGGTATTAGGCCACAGCATGTGACTGTGAATTAGCACAACAGCTGAGTTCTCATATATGCCTGATTAACATCCACTCAACACTGATAACCGACAAGACGCTATGGCTCAAAGGAGCAGAGATTCACATCTTTCCATTTCCAATGACCTCAAAAAAAAAAAAAAAGCCTGTAACATAAAAACATTTTAAGCATTAAGGCAAATCTTCTGCTATTTCTGTTACTAGTAAAATTCCAAGTTACTTTTCCCATCTAAACCTTGGTAAAGTTGCTAATGTTGGCTTATTATGTTCATACTGCCTTTAAGCATAACTTCCATACATGAAGTATACAGTCCGACAAGATTGCTGAATCCTTTAACCTGATTGGTTGACAGACGTTTCAACATGTTGATTAACTTTCTATAACTGCATGTCTGTGATGTAGTTATCGTATTGGTGAGGTCACATTTATCTTTGCTTTGCAAACTTTTGGAGGCGAATTCCATTCATTTTAAAAGGAATTTGTACGATTGGGTGTTTTGTGCAAGGGCGAAAGTTCCCCATGCAGATTTCGCTCATGTTCAAGTTGGTCGAGCAAATTTACCACGCTGACCAATAGAAAACTGCTGGGTTTTAAAGTGACTTCATGCAAAACACAATGACGTTCCAACCTATGGCTGACAGTCCTACCTTGATCAAATGGTTTTCCTGGACTCCATGTTCCTGGTTCCTAAAAAAAAAAAACATAAGTAAATAAACAGAAAACTTAATCAACAGTCTGCATTTCATTTTTTCTGAGCTTCTGTTTGTTATAGTACATAAAGTAATCCATTGTTTCTGTTTGAATAATGCATTTTTACACTTCCTTGCTCATAGTTACTCATGTGAAACATGAAGTTACACTCAATGCACACTGCATTATTATATGATCATGCAACTACAGCAGCATTAAGGACACATAACGCAAACTTGGAAGAATTTCCCTTCAAACAAACAGGCAGATTAGCAATACTCTGTTCCAATGGAAAAACAAAAGCACAATCATACAAACCTCCACCTCCTGATTGTAGAGGAAGCATTGTGGAAAAAAACAAATAAACATTAGGCAGAACATTAAACACACATCACTTCAACAATAAAACATAAAACACAAAATGGACCACAACAAAATATGCCATAAACAAAGAAATAATAATGAAATACATATGTATGGCTTGGCATTGTGCCTATTTATACTGGACTGTTTGTCGCATTCAGTAATTTCTCTGCACTCTTCTTCATGCTTAATTAATTAAGATGGGTAATATGTCAGTTTCCATCAAAGGTCCATTGAAGACTGATAGCACCATATGGTGACACACACACACCGATATAGATATGATATGGCAGCAGTTGGGTCCTCTTGGAGCTACACATTTTGATGGCTGCCATTTCTCTCACTCCTTCGTCTGAGTGTGTTTGCGTGAAAGGCATGCATGCAAATGCATCTTGGAATAAACAACAGCACATGAAATCCATTACAGCGTCTCCGTTGGTCATTCATAATATCCCTTCCCTTCTTTTCCACTCACAAAGAACTTTATCTTTCTCAGCCTCGCTGTGTGTAAACACAGTCATTCTTCTTTTTCTTCTTGTTTGTGCCTCTATTTCAGCAGCTAAACACAGTTGCCACCCAATCTACACCTAGATCGCTCTTGATATTGTGCATTTGTTTTTCTGTCTTACTTTATGTCTTTATGTACAGATTATTGTCTTCATCTAATACCTACGCAGAGAATGTAAGGGAGCACAAGATAGAAACAGAATAGCCTCCATTATGTTGCAATCATGCTTTTTATAGAAGCCATGTGATAGCATGACTGAATGAATGGACGCTGTCCCCTTGTCTTGCTTGTTGCTGATGCTTTAAGCACGTACATTCACGTACATACTTTCACCAGAAGGGAATCAGACACTTTGTCTGGTCAGGAAAAAGGTGAAAGTAACTTTATTTTGAGACTCACAATAATCAGAAAAAAAAAGTTCAATTTGTAAATTATTCAGACTTTTTTTTTTTTTTTTTTTAACTAATATTGTCAATTTAATTTGTAAATTATTCAAGTCTTTTTTTTTTTTTTTTTTTAACTAATATTGTCAAACCCTGTAGTTTAATTTAATAATTAAGTTGGTTCTAAATAAAGTTTTTTGGGGGGTTATTTAAAAAAAAAATCTGTTCATTAAAAAGCCCCCAAAATATATGTAGTAATATATTATTACAGTATTAGGTCATATTTTTGATACTCTGTTGGAATCCTGCTCATTCCTTGTAATTTTCTTGTCTATCTAGAAAATGCATTTAACTAAACGAGGCAATTAAATGAATTTAAGTCAACAATACTAGAACATATCAAATTTTAAAAAATTATATTTAAAATGGTCTAAATAAGTGCAAACAAATTGTCCTCAATTAATCCATTTACTTTATTTATTGTTTGTGTTTAAATAAAGGATGATTATGCTCTAACTAACATACTAAAGTATGTAAAGTACTTGACTATAATTTTAACTGTATGTGTTTTCCAATATTACATTTTAAGTTAGTTTAAATGTACTAAACTACAACTTTACTGTTACATGACATACATTTAAAATTAAATTTACCATAAACTCTTGTCAGTACATTTTACAATACACTTTAACCATATTTCAAAGACAATAGAAGTAGTTATTAAATGACATGTAAAGATAAAAATATATTTTAAATCCTACTTAAAAGGATCAAAAACAATTAATTTAATTGCATTTAACATGCAGTGAAGTGTCCAAAACCAGGACATTCAGTTCACACATAAGTAAATTTTTTAAAGTATATTATTTTAGTAAAAAGATTGTTTGAAAGTATGCTACAGTGTAATTCTTCACACAAGGAAATCTTTTTCTTTAAAATAAATACAATACTATCTCCGTTGGATTTTGACACATTAAAGTAGCACATTTTTAATAAACAAACAGCAGTTGGAAGACATTTGAAAGTAACTCTCCCATCTCAACTTATTGAATTCCCAGGGATTCTCAGGGATTTATAAAGTGGCATTATATTGTTTTGTATCTGAATATATAGTAAATAATTATAGTGTGCAATACCGATCATTTGTTTCATTTAAATATACTCCATCACCACAGTTCCCTTGCTTCAAACACACATACACAATCAGATTAGCATAGTCTGAGCACTATAAATCATGATTATTTCACTGTAATCACTTTAAGGGCATTTCTCAGCATACAGAGGGATTTCCTTGGGTATTATTAGAAGGCTTTCAAGCATATGTTGAATGAATAACCAATAAAGAAACAGTGCAGCATTAATCTGTTAATACTAAGAGAAGTACAGCATTAAACCAGTGACACTGGACAGTGTGTACAGCAAAATCCCATTCTTATCATTTAGCATATTGAGGAGCAGGTCAGTGTGTGTGTGTGTGTGTGAAAGAAAGAGAGAGAGGGCAGCCAGCATGACAGCAAGGCGGCTGTTCTCTCATGCAGAAAGTGCCGGAAGCGTCTCACCCTTCTGACATCATTCATTCTTTATGACCCCCACCCCCCCGTCCAGTCTTTAAGCACATTTGCGTTCACAAGGGCACCAAAAACAGGAACAAGCAACCCTACAGAGAGAGCAGAAGCTACATAGAATCAGAACAGAATCAGTCCATGCCACACCAGATGCTACATGATACAAGCAATAAAAACCAGCTCTTCAGGGGCATTCAGGCTGACAGCAATTTACAGTGACAAAGTCATTCATTTTTAAAGACAGCTGACAATTTCTGGCAAAATGAGTGACAGCGACTGTTGGCAATGAAAACCCATTTGATGAGGTCACTACCATTGGGACTGCAGACTATGATCACTGCTCAGTAGACTCTCATTCGAAACTGTGGCTTTAAAGTTTAGTCATCTCCAATTTAGACTTCTATAGTCAAGCTGCTCTTTTCAAAAAGTAATCAGCTAAACTACAAGCTAACAAAAAGTATTTACTGCATTGAAGTTACTTGAACAGTTCTCAAGCAGGGAGTCAGAATATTATATTTATATTAATAAATATACTACATTTAAAATTAGGCCTGTCACGATAAGGTAGACACGGAGTAATAATATCAATAATGTTGGTAATGTCTTTGCTGGGAAGATCTAATAGTGATTTCCCAGGGGGACATTTTTATTGCACCATTCAAAATCGATCAACAGTCCTACAAATGAATAAACAGGAATGTTTCTTGCTCTAAAGCTGTGGTTCTCAAACATTTTCACTTGAAGGCCCCCCGTTTTCAAAAAAGAAAGAAAAAAACAAATCTGAAGCCATCCTGTCCACATTAAGCATGGTTAATTTTGTGATTCCAGACATTTCAGAAACTGCTCTTCCAAGAACAAAACTAAGCAGAGGTTACTGAAGTTTACATCTTGAATTTAATGTATGGGTTTTTTTAGAGAGATTTTTAGAGAGATTATTTTCTTATAGTAATAATAATTTATTAATTTACTTTTTAAGTAAACTTAAATAATCTTTTAAGTAAACTTAGTTCAAATCTCAGTTAACTGGCATTTTTATTGATGAACTTTGTCAACTGAAGTATATCAGTAACTTTTATTTTGCTTTTATTTTGTGATTTCACTAGCTGTGTTTACATGCTACCAAATTAACCATTAGTAATCAGATTGATGGCTCAATCAGAATGAAAAGCCTTCAAATAAATACCTGAATAGTTCCAACTGAGCTTGATTTGTATAAAATTACGATTTGATTGGTTGGTTTAGACCTGCAAGCATGAGCATGTAAATGCCTGAATCTGATATTTTCTCAATCAGACTAAAAATTGTTTGCATATGTCAATATGTGCAGTGCCATGTGTATGTTTAAATACGTTTTACATCTTAAAAGCACATTTAATGAACTGGTCAGTGGAGGAATATTTGCTAAAAAGATCTTCAGATCTTCGTTCATTCATTTATAACCATTTATCATTTAATCATTTTCTTTTTCCATTTAATCATATAATTATTTACAATAACAATTTAAACCATTTATATACTCATTTCATTGACGCATGTCATCAAGGCAAAAGTGATAATTATTCTCATGGTAGCTTCTGTGACATTATCGTGGAATTTTCTTTCCAGTTCTGAATGTGGAATACATGTAATGCACATGTAAATGCATATATGAATCATTTTAGGGTTTAAACAAACAGTTCTTTGGAATTTGAAATCAGATTGGATTCTTTTGGATTGATGAAATGTACATGTCATTTTAGTACTGCAAAAGCCTTGCAGCTTTTCCTTTTTGTGAGATATAGTCCTTCCTGTTTCGAGGATGCTTTCCAGACGTGTCCTTTACACCAAAGTCAAACACATGCTCATAGATTGGCTGTGCTTCTCATTCAAGCCTCTCACAAAGTCACAGAAAATTCTCCATTCTCTTTTCCTACCTCCTCTGGCGACATTAGCCTGAAGTTGATAGAGCGTTAAAAATGTCACTAGCACAGCTGACAGTGAAGTCAAGAGTGTGTTTATGTGTGTGTGAGAGAGACAGAAGATGTTTGACACTGCAGGGGGATCACTGATGGCCATTTTCAGCCTGTCAATCTAACAAAGCCACACACACTTCACCAAACAAAAGCTTGACAGCCCGTGCTTCCCTTACATGTGCGGCGTCTCAAAGCTTAAATGTGATTGGGGGTCTGTGATTTTAGGGCTCAGAGTCTTTCAGTAATTGCTTTGCTGTAAGGGCCAGTTGATTACGGGGGAAAATCTTGTTGAGCCGAACAACTAATCTACATAAATCACTTTCTCTTTACTGATGGCCTGAAGTGTCACATCGAAAGCCTAAGTAATCTTTGATGTGCCTTTAGCTGCGAAGCTGAAATGAAAAGAAGCAAGAGAAGACAACTGAGAGAGCGAGTTTTCAGTGAGTGCATGTGTGCATGCACTGTAAAATAAAAAGGGAATTATGGTTTATTCAGCATATGAGGTCTTTGAGTCGCAGATTAAGGAATTTGAATTACTTCAACTTCTACAGAAAAACACAAAATTCCATCTAAACTTGAAAGTTGTCCAAATAGTTTATTATTGCTGATTAAGGGTCTGTGAATTCCCAGCATGCATTGCATCATGAATTCATTACGTGGTTATTGATACAGAATTATTATTTTAATGTTGACTTGCTCTTTCTTTGTCTTAAAGAGATCGTTCTCCCAAAAAGGAACATTTTGTCATCATTTGCTCACCCTCATATTGTGCCAAACCTGTATACATTTCCTTGTGAAACACAAAAGATTTCTTTTGACAGAATTTATATTTTTGTGAACTACCCTTTAACTAGTTTTGTCTTAACTAGTTATTTGTTTTATATTAATATAGTTGATCTTTTTTCCTAATGTTTGTTGATTGTCATGAAGTGTTTTTGTGACAATTGTTGAGGCCGATGTTATCTATAGAAAACTACTGCACATACAGTAATATCTTTGCTTCGCAAAATGTTGTGTTCTTCAGGGACAAATATTAATATTAAATTTGTGTGAATAAAATTAAGGCAAATACAAATCTCAAAAGTTGCTAATTTACAATTTGTTGAACAAGAAGCCTTTAGTTGTTTTGACAAGAACATATTAGCGGAATGAGACTTTTGCTTTTATTAAGCAATAAAATACTAATTGTCTAAATTAAAGTAGCATTACAGTTATTAAGAATCTCAGGTATTAAAATGTCAATGCATCATGTTTCCTTAATTGTTTAGTTAAAGGGGTTATATGATGCGATTTCAATTTTTCCTTTCTCTTTGGAGTGTTACAAGCTCTTGGTGCATAAAGAAGATCTGTAAAGTTGCAAAGACTAAAGTCTCAAATCCAAAGAGATATTCTTTATAAAAGTTAAGATTCAGCCACGCCTACCTAAAATGGCTCGTTCTAAC